CTACAGTTCATGACGGAAGAAGAGGTGGATGGCAGACATCCGTTCCTGGACGTTTTACTACGCCGCCAACCGGACGATAAATTGGCGACGTCTGTCTACCGTAAACCAACAAACACTTCGCAGATATTGAGTTACAATAGAAATCATCCGCTACAACGCAAAAGAAGTTGAATGCGCATGCTATATCGACGAGGAGAAACCCACTGCAGCACGCCAGCTGCCGAAAGGGACGAGACAAGGCTCCTCCGGGAATTTTTCAGAGCAAACGGCTATCCATGAGCGTTTACTGAACGGACTCGAATGCCACCAAAAACGCGGAACCTTGCCTATCAAAATCGTGATGTAGCATTCCGTACATGAAGAGTTCTCCGGAATTGTGTCTAGATCCCTCGCGCTTCCCGGAATAGGGGTTGCCCTCAAGCCTACCTGCACAATCCGGCAACAAGTAATGCGGTCGAAAGACCCTATACCTAAAAAGGAGAAGTCAAGCGTCGTCTACCGACCTCAGTGCAGCTGCGGGATGTGCAATTATGTTGATGAAACCGGCTGACAACCACAAACGTGTATGCATACGCATAAATTGGCTGAAAAATGGTTTGACGCAAAGCCGGAGGTAGCAACCCATGCTTCAGACATCAAGACAAATTAAAGAAACCCGCATGTCAGTCACGGCATGGAAAGACTGGAGCCGTCAACCAGCAACGCGCCTGAAACAAGTCGGTGCGCAAGGGGGCCGAGGGATCGAACGCACATGAGGGCGAAACCAAACACGCGACAATATGACGGACAATTTAAACGAGTAAGCTGAAGGCGAGGCGCGAGACACACATACAGTGACTCAGCCAAGTTGGTAGAACACGCACACGGAAGAACGAGCGGCATAAAGACGAGGACCATGGGCCAGAGGGTCCATTCTCTGAAGATGGGTGGACGAGACAACTACCTGAAATGTCAGGCTTATAATAAACCTCTCCCAGTGAACGCTCCTCTTCTGATACACCACCTGGGAATCGTATTTTCAGCACTATAACATCATGTCGCGATACACTGGAATCTATTCGGAAGATCTTGCCTTAAAGCAGGTTTGTGTACGATCACGAACATGCCCCCTTAGTCCTGTATTCACCACAATGCTGAAACATCTTTACCATCAGCAGCAGTCGATAATCGGCTAAATACATGGTCGACCGTAGGTTACTCAACGTCCGTGGCTCGCAGGATTAAACTAAAGAATTTACACAGAATTTGCAAGCTACGCGCCGAATGCTGCAGTCCAGGAGGACATGCAACAAGGCCTAGAGTTGTGCCTCGGGTCGACCATCGAGCGTTTACTCACTATAAATCCAGAGAATACGGTTACACAACAGGCCGCGTCATCAGGGGAATCCCACGAACCTGTAGTTATGCTTAAGTGATGGACAATTCCCGGAACATCGAAAATGACGATCAAACTGTAGCCCTAATATCCGAAACCCGCCGTCCTTAC